CAAGTCAAGGCTGATAATGAGGCAGCAGCTGCTGTTGTTGCAGCTACCGCCTCAGTTGCAGCGACCAAGGAAGCTGCGACAAAGGCTCGGATCACCCAACTTGAGGACAGCATCCGTGTCGTGGACCGCGCACACTAGTGGCTACCACTTTATTTCTATAACCTAGACCCAAGCCTAGAGGGTCATTTCTATAACTTAGACTTAAGCCTAGTGGCCATATCTATAATGCTTAGGATTTTTTGAAAGGCATTTCAAATGTAGGCCTGGGTATTTCATAGTGAATTTTCCATAGATACGCAGTGCATTTTCTGCGAAGTTTCAAATGCAGCCCTGGATATTTCATTGTGATTTTTCAATAGATACCCTAGGCATTTCATTGCGATTTTTCAAATGTATCCCTGGGTATTTCATTGTGATTTTTCAAATGTATCCCTGGATATTTCATTGCAAAATTTCAATGGATAACTGGCGCATTTCATTGCGATTTTTCAATAGATACCCTGGGCATTTCATTGCGATTTTTCAAATGTATCCCTGGGCATTTCATTGTGATTTTTCAAATGTATTCCTGGGTATTTCATTGTGATTTTTCAAATGTATTCCTGGGCATTTCATTGTGATTTTTCAAATGTATCCCTGGATATTTCATTGCAATTTTTCAAATGTATCCCACATGTCAGGGTCCATGCAATGGGCTTCCCTGGAGGGTGGTCACATGACCAATTACCAAAAATGGTCAAAAAACGAAAGTTGTAGCCCTACACTGTAGCTTCCCGAATCTGTGTGAATTATGTTCTGAAGTGCTCCCGTTGTGGAGATATGAGGTAAAGGAATTTCAAAAGTGTCACGTTTTTTTTTGTTTTTTGTTTGTTTTTCTCTATGAAAACAAAACCAAATAACATGATTTCAGTATATTCAGAAAGCTAAAAGAAAGGGCTACAATTATTGTATCATGGGAAAAATGACCAAAAAAGGAAGGTGCATCCTGTACTATAAGAATCAGATATAGACTACCAAGTTTACTGATAGACTACAAAAAAGTCGGACTTAGACTACACAGTTTACTGACACACTATAAAAGACTAGAAAAGTCGAAATTAGACTACAAAGTTTACTAATACACTACAAAAGACTACAAAAGTCGAACTTAGACTACAAAAGTGTGGACTTAGACTACATAGTTAGGGTTAGAGTCAAAAGGTTATCTTGACTACAAAGTTTGTAGTGTGCGCTTTTTCATTAAAAAAGTTTGTAGTGTCCGCTTTTTGAGACTACAAAAGTTGTAGTGTTGCGCTTTTTCATTAAAAAAGTTTGTAGTGTCCGCTTTTTGAGACTACAAAAGTTTGTAGTGTTGCGCTTTTTCATTAGAAAAGTTTGTAGTGTCCGCTTTTTGAGACTACAAAAGTTTGTAGTGTTGCACTTTTTCATTAGAAAAGTTTGTAGTGTCCGCTTTTTGAGACTACAAAAGTTTGTAGTGTGTGCTTTTTTATTAGAAGAGTTTGTAGTGTCTGCTTTTTCATTTAAAAAAGTTTGTAGTTGACATGTAGTTTATGGTGTCCTTGGCCCTATCTATGTTATGGGGATGAGGTTGAAGGATTGCCATCATATTGCCAGTGCTGCAGCATTAGTATTTGACATCATGCACAAGTTGTCTTTCACATTAGGAAAGGCCATTCTATGTCTTTCATATTGATACCTACTGTCCTATCTCAAGACATAATTGCAAGGTCATTGACATGACATGACCAGTTTTTGACATCACGACCAAGTTTGCCTTTTACGCTGTCTGCTTTCACATTGATAACTACTGGCCTGTCCCAAACATAGTCAACTTTGAT